GGGAGCTGAGATCCCGCTACCTCTGTCCAGCCTGGTCTGCCACCTGGAGGACAGAGCAGTTCCATTCTCCCGCTTTCTCCCTCTCCATCCCCACTGCTGTGGCCCCAGTCTCAGGAGGCCATTCTCGCACCTTCCCTCTGGCAGCTTCACCCTCCTGAACCCCACCAGTCCCCAAGCACAGCACCCTTCAGGATGAAGGCCTGACCCTCGAGATTTCTCACCCTCTGACCCCACCTCCCATCCCACCCCCTGCACCTAACCCCAGCTAAATCCCTAGTCATTCCCCTGCATTCTGTGTTCCACGTTCCATTCCTAGTGGACTTCTCATGGTACCCCCAAGTCTCCATGCTGTCATACCTTCTTCATTTTGCCAACACTGTTCTCTCTGCCTAGAATCATTTCCTTCACTTCACCTTTAATCTGGACAGCTTCCTACTTGTCCTTGAAAATTTAGTTTGAATGTTGCCTCCAATATGCCTCCTCCACCCCACATACCTTCCTCCAGGCAGGCAGTCCCTGAGGGGAGAGGGGGGTATCCCGGTCCTGCACCGAGGCACATGTATGTTGAGCATCTCTCTTTAGTATCTTGGTATCTCAGGGGATAAGCCTGAATTCAGAGGAAGTTAGGAACATGGATGGCTTCAGACCTAGTTTAAAGAATGGGCATTTTGTGAACAAATCAATTGATAATGAGGTTTGGAAGAAAGCTTGTTTATTTTTAATTCCTACATAAAGTTATCTACCATTTGGCCATCTCAAAACAAGCTAGTGTTTTGGAAAGCAAGAGAGAAGGTTTTTAATTACAGAATTGATAAAGCAGAAATAGCTAACCATGTATGTCCTAACTTTAGTGTATGATCAATATGTCATATATTTGAAAATTAATATTTCTTGCATTTTAAAACCAGTTGTCATTATACTTCAATTTAAAAAATGTAATAAAAAAGAGAACATACTCTACCAAAGAAGACATGTGGATGACAAATAGGAACAAGAAAAGATGCGCAGTGTCATTAGAGATTAGGAAAATGCAAATTAAAATCATGATGAGATATTGCTACATACTAAACAGAATGGCTAAAACATATATTTTTTAACCCTGACAATACAAGTGCTAGTGAGAATGCAGAGCAATTGGAACCCTCATACATTGCTGATGGGAATGCAAAATGGTGCAGCCACTTTGGATAACAGTTTGGCAGTTTCTTATAAGGTTAGACGTACACTTACCGTATAGCAATTCCACTCCTAGGTATTTACCCAAGAGAAATGAAAACATACATCCATACAAAGACCTGTAGGTGATTGTTTATAGCTTCTGTTTTTACAATTGCCCCAAACTGAGGGCCAGCCCCATGGCATAGTGGTTAAGTTCAGCATGCTCTGCTGTGGCGGCCCAGGTTTGCTGGTTCAGATCCCAGGCGTGGACCTACACCACTCATTGGTGGCCATGCTGTAGCGGTGACCCACATACAAAATAGAGGAAGATTAACACAGATGTTAGCTCAGGGCTAGTCGTCCTCAAGCCAAAAAAAAAACAAACAAAAAAGAGGAAGATTGGCAACAGGTGTTAGCTCGGGGCAAATTTTCCTCAGAGGAAAAAAAAGAAAGTAAAAGAAAAATTGCCCCAAACTGGAAACAACCCAGATGTCCTTCAGCAAGATGAAAGGATAAACAAATGGTGCTAGATGCACACAATAGAACACTACTTACCAATACCAAGGATGAATGACTGATACAGGCAGTAACATGGATCAGCCTCAAAAGCATTATGATAAGTGACAGAGCCAGTCACAAAAGCAAGGCTACACACTGTGTGATTCCATTTATCCTGGACATCTCGGAAAAGGGACAAAAATCAGATCAGTGGTTGCCAGGGGCTGTGTGGGAGGAGATTGACTGCAAGAAGGGACAAGGGAACTCCGTGGGGGGTGGAAATATTCTGTACCTCGATATGGTGGTAGTTATACATGGTATACATTTGTCTGAACTCATATAAGTGTATATCTGCAAAGGGTGAATTTTATTGTATGTAGATTATATCTCAATTTAGAAAACCAGCTGTCAGTGGCTCTGCTATGGAATGACTGCCAGTGCCTTGCTCAGGAGAGCGGGAAGGCCACATTGCTCTGTCACCAGGTGGCTTATGAAGATGGAAACAGTGAAACCTGATGAATGTCCCTATGTGTGGACTAAAGTGATGGTCTGTCACGAGCCCGTATGTAGCCTTTGCGTTGAGCAAAGGACAGCAAGGCAGAAGTTGCTGGAGCATCTCAGTGCCTGTTGTCATGAGCACTCTCTTCTCTCCTTGGCCCCAGCAGTGGTCAAAGTGCTTCTGGCAACATCCTTTCTGTATTCCTTGCTGCTTTTCAGATTTCCAGAGTTGTCATTTAAATATGAACAGCATGAGGGCCAGCCCGGTGGTGCAAGCCGTTAAGTGCGTGCGACCCCGATTTGGATCCAAGGGACCCCGGTTTGGATCCAGGGGACCCCGGTTTGGATCCAGGGCGCGCACCGATGCACTACTTGTTAAGCCATGCTGTGGCGGCGTCCCATATAAAGTAGAGGAAGATGGTCACAGATGTTAGCCCAGGGCCAGTCTTCCTCAGCAAAAAAGAGGAGGATTGGCATCGGATGTTAACTCAGGGCTGGTCTTCCTCACGATAGATAGTTAGATAAATAAATGAATGAATGAGTGAATGAACGGCAGCTACGGTATGTGCTGATGGGCTGTACCAACATGTGCCTTGTTAAGAAATATCCTTTTTTATTTTTATAATTTTATTTATTTATTTTTCCCCCCAAAGCCCCAGTAGATAGTTGTATGTCATAGTTGCACATCCTTCTAGTTGCTGTATGTGGGACATGGCCTCAGCATGGCCGGAGAAGCAGTGCGTCGGTGCGCGCCCGGGATCTGAACCCGGGCCGCCAGCAGCGGAGCGTGCACTTAACCTCTAAGCCATGGGGCCTGCCCTCCCCTGAATTTCTTACAAGGGTTTTGAAAACCAGAGAGGTGGACAGGTTTCTGGATATTTTGATGTTGATTACCATTTGAATATTACTGGTAACAGTGAGATGAATACCAGCTCTGCATCGTGGTTTCGTGTCGCCTGTCAAGGCCGAATCGAGCTGTGATTATCTTAGCTCTTCTTGCCACCAGAGCTCAGTGATACTGGCTTGTGTTTTGTTGGTTATGTGTTTTACCCTGCTGTAAATTTCAAAATGACAGCAAGGCCCTATTTTAAGGGAAGTGAGTGTGTGATGTCACTTCCCACTGGTTGTGAAATGCTTGCTTTTGCCTTCCTAAAAAGGGGCTGCTGAAGGATGGAGTTGAAAACTCAGATTGAGGTTCTGTGTCTTGGGGAGCTGCTGACCTGCCTTCCTTGCTGAGGAGTAACAGCCAGGCCATGCCTGCGCTGGAGGGGTCTGTACAGGGAACGATGGCAGATGCCGGGGCCCAGGAGGTGTTCCTGCGCTCCAGAAGCCTGCTGGAGACCACACGCGGCCCTGAGAAGGCTGCCCAGGCTGCCTGGCTTCCAGGGCTCCTGCTGTCCCCAGGCTTCTATCCCCACAGCAGTGGGCTCATCTCAGCCTGTCTAGAGCTCTGGCCTCAGGGATGGCCCTTTTCTTCTGTCCCTGTGCAAGGTCTTACCACTACTACCCCACCCCTCTTCTTCACCGGGTTACTCAGCTTAGGAGAGGAGAAACTCGGGTACCCGGAACTGTTTATAGCCAGTGTTAAACTCACTGTGCTGTTGCTCTCTGCAGCCTGTACGGCAGAGACGGCTGTACCCTTTCCTGTAGAAGTGGGAACTAGTCCTCTCTGTCTTCCAGGAGCTTCCAGACTTACTCCAAACAGAGTGATCAGCCAGGCAAAGACACTGTTAGAAACAATAAAACTGACAGAAGCTTGACTAAGATTTTTGAAGACAGCGGGAGGAAAGAGTTGCAAGTGTAACAGATGATTTTTCGGTCCGATTTCCCCGGGATCAGCCAAATGGTGTCCTTTCAAATCAGCAGCTCACAGAATGAAACATAGTGAGCACTTTGATTTTTACTCCAAATTAGCCACTAATATTCTCTCAATTATTCTTTTATTATTTATAGTTTAGATGAGCTGGTTCCTCTTTTCATAGGTGAGATAAAGGAATCAAAACTCACTTTGGCACTTGTCAAAGCAGATAAGATTCTGAGCTTTGCCATCAAGTCTGTCCTACCTGGAGCCATATGAGAAACTGCCTTCAGTTGCAGCCCAGCCACTGCGACTGCTGGATCCTGGCAAACCATGTAACTTCTCTGAGTTTTGGTTTCCTCATCTTAAAATGGGGACAGTTATCCCTAGTTGTTAGGGCAGTGGCAATATTTGGAGGTGTAAAACACCCAGTGTGGTGCCCAGCACATAATAGGTGCTTAGTAAGTGTGAAACAGTTTATTGCTATAATTGGGAAGTAATAGTAATCCAGCATATGATGACCTCAAAGCAGAAGGCATCTGAAAGTCTGTTTTAGCAGTGATGATCAGAGGGCCTTTAGCCAAGGATCTATAATGTTAATTATAAAATCATTTAAATCGGAATTATTTAAAAAATTACTTTTCTTTTTTTTTTTTAAATATTTCTAGTTAGACATCACCTACTCTGGGAAGCTGTGTGAGATGCCCTTCTGGGTACCCTCAGCCTCTCACTTCCCTCCATCATAGCCTTTCCCACACTAGTCTGTCTCCCTCCCTGACCCATGGGTCAGAGCATGGACACTGGTCATGTGGATATTGAGAAGCTCTGAATCGCCGTTTTGTATGTTCCTGCTAGTAATGAAAGTGGGGAGCTTGTCATCCAGCAATGCAGGGTGCCTTTCAAATGGGAGAGGGGATGAGCATCTGGGAGCCTGGATGGCATGGAGGCTGTTGGACAGCAGCGAGGGTCAGGCTGCCCCACTCCCAGGAGGGCTGGCAGGTGCGCTGCTGCCCTGAGCCAAGCCTCACAGCATGGTTCTGTCTCCTAGGTCGGGAACTACAAGCGGGCTGTGAAGCGGATCGATGATGGCCACCGCCTGTGCACCGACCTCATGAACTGCCTGCACGAGCGGGCGCGCATCGAGAAAGCATACGCACAGCAGCTCACCGAGTGGGCCCGGCGCTGGAGGCAGCTTGTGGATAAGGGTAGGGAGGCCACTGCATAGGGCATCTTGGCCCCAGGCACCCTGGCAAATCCTTGATCCTCTCTGTGCTGGTTTCCTCTTTTATAAGATCTCTGTGCCAGTTCTGGGGGGCGGTGATTTGTACGGGGGAGCAGCAGGGTGGCGTCGCCGAGCAGCACAGGCTGTGTGAGCTCTCCTCCCCTGTCCTCGGGATGCAGGACTACTCTGCGAACAGCACCCGAGTCTCCGTGGCAGCCCTCGTCGTCCACAGGACACGCTACGCCTGCCGATTTAACTTGGAACAGCTCCTTAAGGGCCCAGACTTGAGTAAGCACCTATCGGATCAAAGGCCCTGCTGCTCAGCACTGTGGTTTGTAACACCGAGAGCTGTTTGGAAGCTTGGCTATGTAGCAAGTCAGATAAGACTAGGTGGTGACATCCGGCAGGCTTTCTAATTTTGAATTTTAACAGGAATAACTATAGGTGTTATATGATGCGGGTTTTCCCCCCTCCCTCCCTAGAAAACTCTCAGGAGATTCTGGAGTTTAGTGCCAGAATGCTGCTGTGGGTGCGCCTTGTGCTCATGCACTTCCTGCACTAGAGGGGAGCGGGATTGACTACAGGACTTCCTGGGACAGAAGTGGGTTAGTGGGAGTTTCTCAGGGTGAGTTTTGGGGCAAGCTCTTCTACCATGACTGGCTGTCCTCAGAGGAGCCAACCAAGGGAAGCCAGGCCACTGGGCGAGGGGTCCTGGAGGGCAGGGCCCCCAGGCAGCTTCAGCCGGCACTAGTCCAGCTGCCTGTCTTCCCCCTGATGCTGAAATGGGTGTCTGTGGGGCTTAGTACAGTGCCTTGGTACAGAGTGGGTGCCAGGGAGTGGGGCGGCCCTGTGGGTGAGGAGTAGCCTGGGAGGGGTCAGCTCCTTCAGTAAGCGGTAGCTGTTGTTATTCCGTGTCCACCTCTCAGGATCAGCTGTCAGCGCTGTCCCTTCTGTTTATTTGGAACTTGAGGCTTACAAAACACTCTTGCACCCTCACCTTGTGGGTCCTGCCATGGCGTTGCAGACCTGGGCAGGACAGGGTACTGCTCGTCTTCTAGACACAAGGGGTTAGAGGCTCAGAGGGGCTAGCCTTCCACAGTTATTCAGCCCCCGGCCCCCCAGGGCGTCTCTGTGTCATTCCTCAGCTCAGACAGTAATTGTCCCCGTTGAACACCTTGAGGACAGGACCTGGGCCTTCCCATTTCATCCTCAGCTTCTGTCACAGCCTGTCTCTCCCCACCTCACCTCACGCCACACCACCCTACACCTTCAGCAAAATGACAGGCCCAATTACTAGTTTCCTTCCTGAGAAGAGTGAGGTGACTCAGGCACCCCCACACCACTATCTAGAGATTTCCATCTGGGCCATGGCAAGTTCCTGCCTCCAACTCCTTCCTCCCCCGCAAGACAGGGCTTCCATTCTGCTGAGGAGACAGTCCTCCATTCGCCAAGCAGGTCTCCAGGTCCTGCCCTGAGTTGGGCTCTTCATGGGAGTGAATAGAAGAGGTCCCGGTCCCCAGGAGAACTCGTGGTGCCGTGGAGGGGAGCCCTGATGCTGAGAGCCCTCCACAGGGAAGAGGGGGGGCTCAGAGCCGCCTGGGAGAGGGGTCTGTTCATTTCAGAGGCCCCTCCTTCTCCAGCCAGCCTTAAGCAAATCAAAACTTCCAAGATGCAGAAATTTGAGTTTTGAAAGAGCTCAGTAACTTTAGAAAAAGGAAATATGTAATCCCCCAATTTCCCTAACAAAAGAATGGCAGAGCAGGTCCAGCTTCGGTTCCTTGTTCCTCTCTTCATCCCGGGAACTGAAAAACGAACGGCCATTAAGAAATACCTGAAACAGCCAGAAGGAAACCTCCCAGCCAGGCAGCCAGGCTGCTGGCCTAAAATCCAGTCCTAATAGCTGAGAGGTTAGCAGAGGAAATCCCCAGCCCAGGGCAGTCTGGGACCCGCAGTGCCGAGTAACCCACCAGCTTCTCTCCTGTGCCAGGGCCTCAGTACGGGACGGTGGAGAAGGCCTGGATAGCTGTCATGTCCGAGGCAGAGAGGGTGAGCGAGCTGCACCTGGAGGTGAGGGCCTCGCTGATGAACAAGGACTTTGAGAAGATCAAGAACTGGCAGAAGGAGGCCTTTCACAAGCAGATGATGGGAAGCTTTAAGGAGACCAAGGAAGCCGAGGACGGCTTTCGGAAGGCACAAAAACCCTGGGCCAAGAAGCTGAAAGAGGTGCACCCCTCCTGCAGTTGCTTCCTGCCTGGCCGGCACGCCTGCTCCTGTGCTTCTCCCTGTGGCCTTTCCACCAGTCCTCCCCGCCAGCAGCTCCCTCCTGCACTCCCAGGAATTCCTGCCGGCTGCGTTAGGCACAGATGCTGCAGCCGGTGGAGAAAGGGCCACCCTTGGGCCAGAAGCCCATGGTGGCTAACATTTACCAAAGTTCAAGACACTGAGGGCTTTCTGTGCATTCTTTACATTTAATCCTTATCAACCCATTTTACAGTCATAGAAACAGGGTAAGAACCACACTCCTGTAGTAGAGCTCAAAACCTGAGCTCTTAACCTCTCACAGTAATTCCCCAACCCTTGGGACCTGTCTACAAGAGAGACTTAAAAGTCCCTTTGGCTAATAGAAAGTGTTAATTTAAAATTGTTCTTTGTCTTGTATGAGTTTTTCTCTCAAATTTGCAAATGATACTCATATTCGTTTTTCTAAAAGTAGCAACTGAAACCATTGAGTCTTGTGCAGCCTTGGCTGGCTGGAGGCTGTCGTATGTAACCCCCAGTTCCTCAGCATGGGTTGACCCTTGCCTGCAGCCTGGCAGCCCCATTCCTCAGAGGTAGATATGCCATTCCTTCCATCCCAGCCCCGCCACTGGTGTTTCTCAGGAACTGCACTGCCTTCCTCCTTCTCAGAAGCCCCTGGAGCAGACCTCTGTCTTTGGTTTGTGACAGCAGGCTTTCCTTCCTTTGTCTGTGTCTTGGCTTTGCCACATCTCCTTTCTCTTCCGTCTTGTCCCTGGCCCCATGCGTAATGATACCATCCCCCGCATGAGGCCAGGGTTACAAACTCATCTTTCCTCTCTAGAATAAAATCTATGACTTTTGCTCAAGTAAGGAAGCTTCTATTAAATAAAAATACATACACATCTGTATCTATATGTGTGTGTGTGTGTGTACATATATATGTATGTAAAATAGCCATTAAAAAATATGGAAAATGTGGCCTATAACCCTGCCTCCCCACTCTTGTATTAGGTTTCTCCTTTGGAACTTTCTTTACATTCCCTGTTCCAGCTCCTGGCATGCTCTTCCCTCAGATGGCCACACCTCCTTCACGTTTCTGCTCCATGTCATCTTGGGTGGCTTTCTCCAACTGCTCTGTATACTGTTCTACCAGCCTAGTCCCACCACGGTGCTCTCTGCCCCTCTGCTTGCTTTATCTCCGTCTTGGCACTTACCACCTTCTCACTGACTCTGTACTTGATTACGTGTAGTTGCCTCCCCAGCAAGACTGTAAGCTCCATGAGAGCCCAGGCTCTTTGTCTGACGCTGGACCCTGGTGCCTAGAACACACCTGACACAGAGCAGGCACTCGTCAGTGTCTGCTGAGTGAACTCCTCTGTTGTAACTGGTTGTAATTGTGCTGAACACGCAGCTTTGTACCTGCTTTTTCCTCTCCTTCTAATAGCGCAGGCACTTCTTGCGGTCTATGTAACCTCTAGTGAGGATTTTGAATTTTCAGAAACGTGACGTTCAGGAACTCATTCTCCCTGTAGGTAGAAGCAGCAAAGAAAGCCTACCATGCAGCGTGCAAAGAGGAGAAGTTGGCAATATCGCGAGAAACCAATAGCAAAGGGGACCCATCCCTCAACCCTGAACAGCTTAAGAAATTGCAAGACAAAGTAGAAAAATGCAAGCAAGATGTTCTTAAGGTAAATCGTGCACTTCTTACGTGTTGAATGCACATGCTTCACCGTTCACACATCTGGCACACGGTGAGCCTTTGTCGCTGCTTGGTCGGATTGATGGATAGATGGATACATGTCAATAAAACACATTCCTGCCCTCAAGGCCACGTGGTGAGCACCTCACCTTCCCGTAGCCCACTGTGCTCCCCTCAGGATTGGTGTAGGACTGAGTGCCGGGCAGGCAGGGGGAGCGATGATTCCTGTGCTCAGGGAACAAGGTGGTGAGGGGCTGGCTTGCTGCAGGCAGAGAAGTGGGTGCAGGACACGGAGGTGTGAATGGCAATGGCGGGGAGCTGAGGTGTGAGCTGGTGTGCAGGGTTATAAGGACCACATTGCCAATGGTCTTAAAAGCCAGCTGTAGTAAGGAGCTTGGGAGACTGCTGACAAGGAGCCACTGAAAGAAGGTTCTGGAGTCTGGGGAGAGGAGGGCAGAGGTGTGGAGGATTGCTCTGTTGGGAGTGGAGAGAGGGCTGGGGCTGATTCCCCGTGGAGGGGTGGAGGGCAGCCCAGTGCACTGTGACCACAGGGAACTTGAGGGCTGGGAGAGGGTGGATTTCTCTGGCAGCCTCAGCAGTGAAGGCCCCAGAGAGGTATGGGCAGAGGCTGTGGGAGCTCGGGGGTGGTGGGACCGTAGCTTTCAGCTGAGAAGAGACAGTGAACAGGCAATGTAGCATCCTGGGTGCCCGTCCATTGCTTCTCTTGTGAAGGGCAGGTTGTCTGACCAGTGGATTAGTGAGAAGATCAAAGGGAATGATTGTGAAACTGTGAGGGCTCCACAATGTGGGCCATGATGCTGCCTGGAAGGCCCGAGTCATAGGATTTAAACACTAGACAGCGCCTTGTAATTTGAAAGTTCCCAGAAGGTGAGGGCTAATGTGAGCAAGGGTCCAGGCCTGTGCGCTGGCTCCCACCTTGGTCCCTGGCCCACCCCCTCCCTTGCTCTGTTTTAGGGGGTGGGGGGCTGGAGGCTGCCCCGTCCAGGGCCTGCCCTGCTGCAGTGTTCAGAGAAGAGATTCCCCACCTGGATTTGGAGAAAGAGACGAGTGGAGTTTGAGAGGAGCTGCATTCTAGGCACTGCCCGTGAAGCCGAGAGGGGAGCAGTGGGGCTGAGTGGATCCCTTACTGCCTGCCCACTTTTCAGGCCTCAGATGAGCATCGCTGAGCCCCTGTGAATTAGGCGGTGGCATCTCTGTTTTGTGAGTGAGGAAACTAAGATCAGAGGGGTTCAGTCACGAGCCGCCCCATGGTGTGAGGGTGGGAAAGCCCGTACCCTCTCTCCACTGCCCCTCCCTGCTGTGTTGTCAGCCTGTGGTGGGGGTGGCGGGGCAGTGTCAGCTGCGTAAGAGTTGGTCCTCAGAGCAGGGGTCAGAATCCCTTGGGGAACAGCACCTCGCCCACCCCCACCGCACCTATCTCTGGGTGGAGGCCAGGAGTCTGGGGTTGTGGAGCAGCTCGGGTGCCTCCACTGCGGGATCAGGTGAGGAACCTGGGACTACCTGCCGAATAGGGAGGCCACCTGGGCTCGAGGGACTCTAAGGGTTGCCCCTGCCAGGGTCCCAGTGAGTCAGGTGCCCAGGAAGATTCCGGGGGAGAGATGAGGCATCTCCATACCTGGGGCGGGGCGGGGGGGTGAGTGACAGAGACAGACAGAGGTGCCTTTCATGTTTTACAACCACTCAGAACAGACACCACCAAACTGATGCAGAACAGACCAAGAGCCTGTGGTCAGACGTAAGGCACCTGTCAGGATGACCAGGCATTTCATAGAGGGTTCCCTCCCTGCCCTCTGTGGTCTGGCCAGTGACCTCTCGGGGCACGATGGTCCTTGTAGGCTAAGAGTTGGCCTGGAGAGGAGGGCAATCCCCTACCTCCTTCTTGAAGCAGTTTCTAAAAACCAGCGCTGACTGGCCGCACACGTCCTTCTGTGCTTCTCACTGGCCAGGCAGTGACTGCGTCTTGCAGTATGCATCAGAAAGGAGCTTCCCACATTCAGTGCTGAATATTACAGTCCATGTGAGGGTGAGGCCGTCTCTCGTTTCACTCTGTGAACGTTCATTGGGAACTTTCTATGTGCTCTGTGCTAGGAATTCCCCAAATAGTGATGACACTGCTGTGTGCCTGGCCTGTGCTGGGGCGGGGCTGCTCACAAGCACAGGCCAGGTGCCAGGGGAGCATCTCGTTGCCACTGGGCACCCCAAGGGCTCCGGGGAAGCCACTGCATGTCTAAGGATCCCGAGAAGTAGCTGCTCTGTGTTGCTGTGGTGGCACCACCTGGCACTGGGTTTTTGAACCCGCAGCTACGTGTCTCAGGGCCTCTGAGCTAGTGCTCCCACACAGGCCCTCACACGTACAGGCATGGGGCAGGTGATGATGATGATGAATAACCAGAGCAGGTGTGGAGCTCTGCTCCTGCTGGGAATGCCCAAACCTGGGCAGGGATGACCTTTCCTGGGGTCACAGAGGACCCCAGCCCAGCCATGGCAGGAGGCTCGGGAATGGAACTAGGAACCACAGACGCCAGGAGAGGGGCGAGGGATGGGAGTGGGGCTCCAGGGAGTGGATGGGACCTGCTCTAGAGGGGGTCTCTTTGGAGCACAAAGAGGAGCTGTAGAGGGCACAAGTCAGAGAAGGGCATCTGGGAGGGGAGCAGAGTGGGGGCGAGTAGACTCAGGGTCCTGAGTAGGGGCAGAGCGGCTGCTCTAGAGGTGCAGGGGCCAGGGCCCCGAGGCCTGGGCTTGGTCCTCAAGGCAGGGGCGGCCTGCACCAGCTCAGAGAGGGCTTGGCCCTTCCTCAGAAGGCCCCGTGCTGTCTTCAGGGTCAGAAAAACAAAGTCCTGGGCAGCCAGCCAACCCATCTCTGATCATCCCCATTTCTCAGGGTCTCCATAGTAGGAAGACTTGCAATAAATGGGTGACCCCAGCCCTGCTGTCCCTCATTTTACCCCAGGAGGCTACCAGGGTCCCACCAACTATCAAAACCACGTGGCCACCAGACACGTGGCCCATATCGCCATGGGGAGGGAGCAGGGAAGACTGTGGGTTACTGACCTCCAGGCAGATCCCTGCCAGGTAAATGTGCGAACTTTAGCTAAGGTTCTTAGGAATGTCACACATTTTCTAGCTGTCCCTAGACACCCTTGAGAATAGGCCACACCAGCTTTTAATATTTCTTCACATAAAACCCCTTCTCGGGGACAGTCTGGGAGGAAATGGCTGTGGGGGGACGTAGTGGGCTGGAGGACATGGGGACTAGGACTTTTTTGAATGCCTACTTTGTGCAGCTTGGTGCCTGTCGCCTGCCACCTCATTTAAATATCAGAACGCTGTAAAGTAGAAGTACTCTGTTTTCTGAGAAGGAAAGTGAGGCTCGAGAAAACAAGAGAGGCACCAGGTCTCGGCCCCAGGTCCGTCAGGCACTCAAAACCCCGTGATCTTGCCTCTGAGGTCACTGTTGAGCCACCACTGCTGGGGGCAAGATCTGAGGCTTGAGGATGACCCAGCACAGCCCTCACCCATGGGAGGGAGGACACGGGTGTGTGCCATGGATGGGAGAGAGCGTGGTGATGGTGCTCGGGCCACACTCACTGGGCTCTCCAGTGACCGCCTGCTGCCTAGCGTCTACCTGTTTGGGCCTTGCTCCAGCTGAGAGGTCTGACAGATACCAGGAGTGTGATTTGCAGTTCAGAAGTGGAGGGGCTGGCACTTGATCTTGAACTTGAAGTCTGTCAGACCCAGAGCTCACGCTCTTTGGATTTTGGAATCTGGAGGGGCCTGAGAAGCTTTCCTAAAGGGTGACATTGGTGGAGGAGATGGCATCTGAGAGGAGCCTGGGAGGCCTGGGTGTGTGGGGTGTGGAGGGCAGTGTTTCCTGAGTATTTCCACAGGCCAGATTGGGTGGGAGGGCTCTTCAGGAGCAGAAGTGGGGTGTGAGTCCTCTAGGCTGGAACTTGAGGGCTGCCAAGGAAAGAGGTTGGGGTGCTTCTTGGGTGCTGGGTCACAGCTCCTCACTGTGCTTATTCCTTATAAAGTCACCCAAAGTGGCTAGCTTAATATTGTCACCTGATAAGTAAGTCTTGATGCTGATGAATTCAGAAGTGGTGGAAAGGGACAAAGGCTGGGTGAGGAACAGGGCGGCACAGAGCCTGCCTCACCTACTCTCGGCTAGAGGGAACCAGGGGCCCGATGGAAATCAACTTTCGTCTTGTGGTGCCTGGATTTTCTTGTAGACCAAAGAAAAGTATGAGAAGTCCCTGAAGGAGCTTGACCAGGGCACACCCCAGTACATGGAGAACATGGAGCAGGTGTTCGAGCAGTGCCAGCAGTTTGAGGAGAAGCGCCTGCGCTTCTTCCGGGAAGTTCTGCTGGAGGTGCAGAAGCACCTGGACCTGTCAAATGTGTCCAGGTATGTTTCCTTGTAACTAAAGAGCATGTCACAATGAGGTCAGTGGGAATTTGCTTTTGATGAAGCTTGGCTGCTGCTCTCCAGACTCAGGAGGGCAGTGTTTGTCAGGAGGTCCTCTCCTGGTTCTTAGAGCCCCCTGCTCTGCTGTAATCTTGATGCCCAGGGAGGGCCCTTCTGCTGAGGTGTCTGCAGCTGCGTGGTGAGCCTGTGCGGTGGACCAGCCACAACTGGCATATTTGGAATCAATCCGGGAGCGAGTCCAGCATTTCCCGGGCTGGCGTGCCTCCGCCCCCAGGATGGTCTTACTTTGAGGCCCTTCGTGAAGTCCATTCCGTCCAGAGCAGCTGGCTGCCAGCTTGGTTCTTGGCCTCTCAGTGATTCTAGACCCTTGGGCAGCACAGACCTTCAGACTTGGTTCGGAATCATGACACAGAAGCCATGATATTTCTTGTGCACTTTCCTCGTCTTTGGTCCCGTGGCGCCTTCATCAGGGCCAAGGTCCAGGCTGACCATGGACATGGACTTCTGTCACCTAGATAGTAGAGCCATTCAGAAACGACTCACCAGTCAAGGCTTGTCATTAATAAATAGGACATTACATTCCCTTTGTCTCCTTCTGTATAAAAAAGTCAAAAGCAACAATTATTGCACAGTTACTCTGCCACAGTTTAGTTAATCTTTATGACAGTCTTGTAAAGTAGGTGGCACTATCCCCATCTGATTGATGAGGACGCTGAGGCTGGGCATGGTTAAATGACTTGCCCAAGTCTGCACAGCTGGCTGGGGCAGTGTAGAGGAGCTCCCCTGAGGCGAGCGCTTGTCCTCAGCTAGCACGCCTGCCTCACTTAGTCTCCCCAGCCGCCCTGGGGAGTAGGTAGTGTAGTAGTGTCCAAGGGCTGCCGTAACAAAATACCAAAAACTGGGTGGATTCCAACAACAGAAATTTAATCTCTCATAGTCTGGAGGCCAGAAGTCCGAAATCCAGGTGTAGGCAGGGCCGTGCTCCCCTGACGGCTCTAGGGGAGGGCCCTGCCTTGCCTCTTCCAGCTCCTGGTGTTTGCTGGCAATCCTTGGCCTTCCTTGGCTTGTAGATGCGTCACTCCAGTCACATGGCTGTCCGCTCTGTGTCTTCACATCCTCTTCCTCTGTGTGTGTCTGTCTGTGTGTCCAAATTTCTTCCTTTTCATAGAAAAGCACCCACAGATTAGAGCCTGCCCCCATGACCTCATTTTAACTTCATTACCTCTGTAAAGACCCTATTTCCAAATAAGGTCACATTCTGAGGTACTGGGGGTTAAGACTTCAACGTATCTTTTTTGGAGGACACAATTCAATGCAAAACAGATGGCATTATGCCCACTCAACACAGGAGGAAACTGAGGCCCAGAGAGGGTAAATGACTTGCCAGCCATACAGATTAGAAGTGAAAACACCAGGACCCGCAGTGATACATACTCCTATCCTTCATGGTCAGCTCCTAGAAAGGTGAGCGGGTGTGGGCTGCCCAGCAGAAGGCGTACCTCCGCAGTGGCAGGAGGGTTCTGCAGCCACCACAGCACCAGGCAACCTTTACTCACTGCTTTTGCAATCTGAGTGTAAACCTTCCAGCTTTTTTGAAGGGATGAGGGGGAACATTGCTGACACTTGATTCTGGACCTGATTAAATGAGACCACCACGGTTGGTGCCCCGTGTGGCCCAGGTGCCGGCCCCTTTTGCGTTATCTGACACAGAGCACAGCTAAGTTGTTGCCACCTGGTTTGATTTAAAGCTGATTTTTCGGAAGCTGAAGCTGTGGCTTCCACACCATGGTTGTTGTTTGTCCTCGTCTGTGCACATCATGACCAGATGATCATCCAGCTGAGCCAGGGCGGGACATCCTGACCTGCGCTGGGAAGTTGACTCTAGTGTGGCTGCAGACTACGGTGCCTGCTGTGGCCAGGCTCTGGGCTTTGATGAAAGGTGGCCATCCCTGACTTCCAAGACTCATGCTTCTCTTTCTGATTTAGCTACAAAACCATTTACCACGACCTGGAGCAGAGCATCAGAGCTGCCGACGCAGTGGAGGACCTGAGGTGGTTCAGAGCCAACCACGGGCCAGGCATGTCCATGAACTGGCCACAGTTTGAGGTAAGAGGAGGCTGTGCCCGTGACCCCATCAGCCTGGCAGAGTCCTGGGCCCACAGGCTCCAGACGTATGCTGTCTTTCTCGTTCCAACTCTGTGTTGGCCTTTGCCCTGTTTATGAGGCAGCATTTAAGCATAGCTACTCTAGAAACCAAGTCAATATTGAGAGTCCAGGGGACTTCAGGCATTACCGAAGGGCCTTCGGAATCTCTACTGAAGGTGCGATTATGTTCTTTCTCGTTCAGAACTTTGATGGTCACTGTTTGACCACTGGCACTCCCTTCTCATAGTGAAGCAGGGGGCTGGGAGGGCCTCTGCAGGGCTGTGGCTGCTGCCTCCCCGGGGAAGACGCTGGAGATGACTGCCTCTGCCTTGGACGAGGGCCAAGGGGCTTCCCCTGACTCTCTAACAGCCAGAGTCAGGCTGCACTCAGATCCTGCCTCACCACTTGCCAGCTGTGCCATGCCAAGCAAGTCATTTGCCCTTTTTGTGACTCAGTTTTCACATGTGTAAAATGGGGATGGCAATAGCACCCATCTCCTCCAGTGGCTGGAGGACCCAGTCCACACTGGGTATGGGGCCTGGGCCCACCACACAAAAGCCTCCTTGGCCCCGTCTTAGCCTGCAGTTTCATCAGCCCTCACACACGTGCCTCTGTTTTCTGGAGATTCTCAAGAAAGCTTCTCCAAATGACAGTGTGGGTCCCTGCAGCTGAGCACTCCCCCTGCACCATCCTTAGGACATCTTTCCAACAGGAGGCCAAGAGCAGGCTGTGCCCCTTCCACAGAGGCCCTGGGACAAAGAGGAGGCCCAGGCCTTCCTGAGTGGAAGTGGACCTAGAGGAGAAAGCATGCAGCCCAGCCTCTCCTCCTCCCTGGTGATGGCACGCTGGGAAGAAGTCTTGTGTACACAGCTGGGATGTCACTCTGCAGGGGGTTTACTGCTCTCTGGGGGTGCTCAGGAAATCTCCTGTGAAATGCTCCCCTGGGTCCCTTAGGGTTGCATATTAATACCCAGAGAACGGATCGTCTGGGAAGGAAGACTTGACAGGCTGTCTCCCTGGGGTGGGTGGCCCTTCTCTCTGTGGATCCCGAGGGCTGGCAACCAGCGCACACATGTGGCACAAGCTTGTGGTTATTACGGATCTTGTTTGACTTTCTCTAATGAAATGATTTGTTTTTATTTTCCATGCCACAAGGATGAAGTAAGTTTCTGTTTTATGGCTACCTTATTGAACCCAAGCCTCCCACCGTGTGTGCAGCCTGTGTGGGGGTGTGTGTCCACAGCCTGGCTCTGGCGGTGTGTGCTGGCTCAAGCACCAGGGCAGCAGCGCCACTCGGGCTGCTTTTCTCATCCACTTGATGGCGGGCCCTTCCTTCCCCGTCAGCCTGGTGTTGATCACACGGGCCCGGGAAGCCGCCCAGTCAGGATAGGTGACAGTCCTTCACTGTGGGGACTCTGAAGCTCCGGTCGGGTTCTCAGTCAGCTTATCTCAGCGGAGGAAATGAATAAATAGATGACCTGGGTCTGGAGTCGAGCCCAGGTCTGCCGCCAGCTCTGCGTGGGCAAGTCACTTTTTCTTTCTGGGCCTCAGTTTCCTCATCTGACTTGATGTTTCTAAGATGGCTTCTAACCTTGAGATTCCATAACTACATGTGAGCAAAGCTGTGGACTCAGTCACACCAAGCGTTAACTCAGAGTTGTTTGACAGTGGGTGGAGGTGGGCAGGAAGGAGAATTCATTAAACATGCATGCATGCACACGTGCACACACACACAGTCTTCTGGAAAATCAAGTCATAGCCCCCTTCCTTCTTGTTTCCCACTTCCAGTGTTTTCAAGTGCAGTTTATAAAAGCCTGCTCACATGCTGGGAAAATAGTAAATCTTTAGGGGGATGAACACTTTGCTTTGCTTTGTTAGCTGCCAGTATGCTGCTCAGATTGAAAAGGTGAAGTTCCAGGGTAGCAAAGAGCACCGGGGCGGGGGCCACTCCTGGGAGACTTGAGTGGTCAGTTATCTGACCTTTTGGTGATGTGGTAGCTACCCAGGCCCTGATTTTCCTTGCATCCCAGGGTTCCCTTTCCCACAGTGCAGGCTTGCTCAGGTCCCCACAGCCAGCTCTCTTGCCCTGCTGGGAACCAAAGACAGTTTAGGGTATAGGCGGGGAGGGTCTTCAGCACTGAAGGCCAAGCCCCTCAGAGGGCAGGCTCCTGTCTCCTTTGAAGGCTCAAGAAAACCTGGCGAGGCCTCTGGCTACTCCTGCTGACCTGAGGGGGCTGGAGGCGAGTGCTGTGTGGGCAGGGACAGGCTGCCTGGGACTGGAATGCAGGAGACCTGAGTGTCGGCCCTGGCTCTCTCCTCATCCACCCATTCTTGGGTGGTCAAAATTTCCTCCTTGGAGCCAGGCCACCACAGGCTGGAGCTGGGTCTGGTGCTGACCTCCAGGCCCCTTGAGGAGTCCCCACCTTGCACAGTGAGGAGGGGTCAGTAGTTGGGTGTCAGGAGCCTGTGGTCTGCTGGGAAATAGAAGGGAGAGCAGAGGCAGCGAGGCTAACTGTCACTAACTGTGCGGGGCAGGCCACTGGCTCGCTGGCTGCTGTTTAGACTGATGTGGCCTCCAACAAATGAACTTCCCGATTTCTCTCCCTCGGTGCCTGTTGCCCAGGAGTGGTCCGCAGACCTGAATCGAACTCTCAGCCGGAGAGAGAAGAAGAAGACCGCTGATGGCGTCACCCTGACGGGCATCAACCAGACGGGTGACCAGGCTCTGCAGAACAAGCCCAGCAGGTGGGCACTGGGGCAGCTTCGATCCCCTGGGAAAGGTCCCATGGGTCCTCTGCATGGGCCAGGACACCCCCAGCTTGGAGACCTGGGAGATTGCCCAGTGGGGCCTTGCAGGGACCCCCATGGGTGTCTTTCCATATGCACCCTGGGCGCCCGAGCTCTGCTGGGCGGTGGCCTATGGGCATCTCTGGGGAGGATCATCTGTCCATCTGGTGCCAGAGCTGTGGAAAGATCCAGAGAAAGAACCTTTGCCACAAACGTGCTTTGGGCCCCAAGTGAGGGGAGGAGCTGATGTCAGGTGCTGGTCATTCATGTCCCCCATGGTACACATGGGCAGGTGGAGGTCATGTTGGTGGTGTCCTTCAGGTGGTTCAGGTGTCCTGACCAGGTTCGTACTTACTTCCCCGTGCTATATGCAGGTGCCTGAGTCAGGGGGTTGGGGGGCAGGAGAGCATTGTCAAGTGTCCCCCTTTTCAAATCACCTCTTTGCTGAGAGCGTTGGTTATTTCTGACCTCATTGCTAAAAACAAGTTTGGAGAGAAGAGGTGGCACTGAGGTCGTTAGAACCTTCTGGAAAGTGTGTGCTAGGCAAGGTCTTTCTCTAGGACCTGCCCCAGGCCGCGGAATTCCCAGCAGGTAGGTGTGCAATCCTCTGTAGAGCTGTGGCTGTGGGCTGCCCCTCCCTGGAAGCAGTGCCCGCCCCACAAGCCCTGGGCCCAGAGGCCTCCACGCCACACCAAGTGATCATACGTCTTGTGGTTGTGGCTTCCTAGGAAGGGTCAGCACAAGTTCCGGAGGCCTTTCTATAGCCCGGGTACTAAAGCCCGCACCTGGGCTCCTCGGCAGACGTGACTAGTCATTCAGCTGCTGTGGCACCAGCTGAGCCAGTGGGCTTGGTTACATGACAGTAAGCGCCATCCCAGGGACAGGCTGTGACCAGGGTGGGGGTGGGGAGGAGGAGATACCACGTAGGAGGGACTCTGTGGGGGCTCTAGGCTGGCCAGAGCTGCTGCACAAATTCAGCTGCCCAGTACCAACCCTCTCTCAGAAAAGGACCAGGAAGTCAGCTGGAGAAAGGGGCCAAGGAGGGGGGAGGGCCTGGGGCCTCAGATATGCGGCCCAGGTGTAGGTGGTGGGCAGGCTTGGATCCAGTGCCCTTGCCAGGCCTGAAACCAGTGAGGCAGTTGCTGACCACTCAGGGTCACTCTGGCGGCATTTGAGGCCTTTCCTCACCTCCCTTCCCCAGCTCTGACTGGGCCATCCATCCATCCAGCTCCTTACGTGCCCCTCCTCACAGCCCTGGACTTGGAGGCGAGAGGTGACGCTGGCCGCGGCAGGCCCTGCCCTGTGACTTGGTGTTCAGGTCCATCAGCTCAGAGTTACATGGTGGGCTGCCAGGGTCCTCGGGGGCCTGTCTTCCTTCTTTACATCTTGTTCTGCGCTCAGCACCTGCAGTCTCTGCGTCCTGTGGCTCCTGGCTTCAGCCCTCCGGCGGAGCTTGGGTCGGGTTTCTTTCTGGCCCCCTCTGGGCCTGGCACACAGTAGGCAGTTGATATAGTTGTGCAGATGGATTTTCTCTCTCTGGAGCACAAATGGGGTCCTTCTTTCTTCCTGGAAAGGGCTGTTCACAGGCTTTGGTGCTGATTTTGGAAGCTTCAACCCTAGGAGAACTGGGGAGGAGGCTGTAGGACCCCTTAGTAGTCAGGAGAAGGGGGTGTACAGTGTTGTGGGGTCCGGAGAGCTCCCGGAGCCTCCCTCCTGCTCCCATCAGGGGGCTCCAAGCCTCCCAGGCTGAGTGCCACAGGCTGACCAGCCTGCCAGCTCACAGCAGGGGGCAGGAAGGCCAGGTGGGGAGGACTGTGAAGAGAAGCCCTGAGCGGTACCTGTCCCCACCCCAGGGCTCCTGTTCAGGATAGGTGCAAGGAAGGAAAACGGAGATGGTGTTCTCTCGTAGACGCTCTAAGCGTGTTTAACAGCATAAGCATTGCCAAGTGTTTTGCTAAAACAACCTTTCTGCTCAAACAACATATTCCTCCCATCTGATGGGGAGCCGATTTGTCCCTTCAGACCCTGGCCCTGTGATCCTGCAGCTGGGAGCACCCAGGACCGCAGGGGCTGCCAAGCTGGAGTCCCCTGAAAGCTCTCTCTCTCCCTGTAGTGACCTTAGTGTCCCGAGCAACCCCGCACGGTCAGCGCAGTTACCGCCCAGCTACAACCCCTTCGAGGACGAGGACGACACAGGGAGCACCGTCAGTGAGAAGGAGGACATTAAGGCCAAAAAGTTGGTGAACAAACATTTCCCTCTGGTCTTCACCTCGCTCGCTCTGTCTTTCTCCTCTCTGTCCAGGGTCTCAGCCCCTCGGCACTCAAAGCAATGCATGAGACCCACAGGAGGTGGCCCGGCTGCCAGCGGCTGGACAGTCTTTGGCTTCTCGATTTCTCAGGGAGGGGGGCACCAGTTAACAATCTGTGGTTGCTTCTTCTCTGTCCTCCGTTAATCCTCATCAAGGCCTGGGCACACCACCACAGGAAGACAGGCCTGCTGGGCGGCCCTGCTGGAGCAGGCCCAGGCCGGCCTCTGCGGGGCACTGGTGTGGGCAGCATCTCCAGCCCCCTGGCTGCACCCCTGCAGGGAGCCTAAGGGGGCTGTGCTCCTGCGGCAGGAGTCCCCAGCCCAGCCCCAGGGCTCCCATGCCTCCCCTTGTGGGGGCTGAGGCTCCAGGCAGGGCCTCATGCCGCTGCCAGCCCCGTGCTCAGGGCCCCGGGTCAACCCTTTCTTGCAGCGTGAGCAGCTACGAGAAGACCCAAAGCTACCCCACTGACTGGTCAGATGACGAGTCCAACAACCCCTTCTCCTCCACGGATCCCAGTGGGGACTCAAATCCGTTCGATGAGGATGCCACCTCAGGCACGGAAGTGCGGGTCCGGGCCCTTTACGACTATGAAGGGCAGGAGCATGATGAGCTGAGCTTCAAGGCCGGTAGGTGGGCTCCCTGGCTGGCATCCAGGCAAATGCTTCCAACCTGCTGGGGGAGGTTGTTGTTTTTTTTTTTTTAAGTCTGGTAAAATTCCTGTTAGTTTCATTTGTGCCCCGCTACACCCCAGTTTCAAAAGTAGTAGATGCTCAACGTCAAAGCTTAGAAGACAGTGAGGTGCCCTTGTGCCTTTGCCCAAGACGCCGCCCCAAGTGGGGCTGAGGCCTGGGCACACAGCAGGGCACTGGAGCAGGAGGTGCTGATTGCCAGGGCCACCCAGCTCCCCCAGATGCTCTCTGGAAGCAGACAGCCCTGCGGGTCCACAAGGGAAGCCTTTCTCCAGAGGCCCCCAGCTGGCAGAGGAGCCCTTGGCAGAGCCGCCCTGCCCAGGCCCCACAGTAGCACTCAGCGTGCCCTGGGCCCCAGAGAGCCTCATCTCAGGGCAGTACCTTTCAAACTTGCTTACTGCAGCTACGTTACATACATACCTACCACCAACACACCTTTGTTGCCAGCGAGCAAAACTTTGGTTTTACAGGACAGTCTGAATCCTGATTATGTGAGCTCTGCATGTGGAGATTTTCCATCCTGTGTCTTTTTTTTTTTTAAATGCTGGTTGCAGTTCACCAAGATGGGTTGCAACTCTTAGTTTGAAAAGACTATCTTAGGGGCTGGCCCCGTGGCGTGGCAGTTAAGTGGTGCACTCCGCTGCTGGTGGCCCGGGTTTGGATCCCGGGTACGCACCGATGCACCACTTGTCAGGCCATGCTGTGGTGGCGTCCCATATAAAGTAGAAGAAGATGGGCACAGATGTTAGCCCAGGGCCAGTCTTCCTCAGCAAAAAGAGGAGGATTGGCATGGATGTTAGCTCAGGGCCGATCTTCCTCTTAGAGCCTGTCTAAGGAGGCTTGAGTGGCTTAGTGCCAAAGTGGGTCCAAAGGAAGCCAAGTTCCTTCCTTCTGCCTTGTCCCCTCCTTGAAGCCACCCCGGATCCAGCATCTACCCCTCCAAGGAGGAGGCTGGGCCAGAAAGGTGCCCATCTGCTTAGGCAACACCTCTGGGACAGACCCCCACATCCAGCCCCACCCACCTCGGCTGGTGGTGGTGGGGAGATGTGGGGGTGGGGGGGTTGCTGTATGTGAGGGCCTCTGTCCCTAATGCCTCCTTCAGGGAGGCCAAGGAGAGGAGGAGCCTTCAGCCTGCTTCCCTCCTTGCTCAGCAGGCCAGCCAGCTCTCCCCAGGGTTGGTCATCGGGCGCCCCTGGCCGGTTGTAGAAAGTTTTTACATGCCTTTAAACGTCTTTGTCCAGTTTTCTGGTATCTTTGATTAGGGTGGTCCCCCCCTACTTGCTTTGTTGATTTATTTACTTTTAATTTCTAATTCTTTCTCGATCTTACCTATTGGATTTGTCAGCAATTTTATAGATTTAAAATGTTTCGTTCAGCTCCAAGTGAACTGTCAAACGCAAACTGGTTGAAACGAATGTTTCTAATCACCAGTTCACATTTTTACATCTTGAAAGCTTTCCTATCAGTTTTGTCTGTTTCCTGTATTGTTTTTCTTTTGTACCATGGAGCATTAGTTCCCGGCTTTCTGCTGTCTTTAGCAGAGCCCTGTCTGCTCTCCACTCCTCTGGTCCTGGGTGCCGAGGGAGCCCTTAGCTGGAGCACTTGTCACCATGTGGAAGCTTCATGGAGCTAGTGTCTCTCGTGCACCTGGGAGCCTCACCCCGTGTGAGGGCAGGAGGAGAGAAACGCCCGGTGTTTCTGTTTAACTCCCTTTCCCGTGACTTGTAACTCAGAGCTCTTGTTTACAACCCCATTTAAAAAATGCTTATTGGTATCCAACTCTTCCACATCATTAAAACTAGTTTTCATCTGTTTAGCTAATGGTTTCTTACTAATGATCAACCAAAAAGTCTTAATCAAGGGGCCAGCCCTGTGGCTAAGAGGTTAAAGGGCGGTGCGCTCCGCTTCGGCAGCCCAGGTTTCGTGGGTTCGGATCCCAGTTGTGGACCTACTCCACTCGTCAGCCATGCTGTGAAGGCGACCCACATACAAAGTGGAGGAAGATTGGCATAGATGTTAGCTCAGGGCTAGTCTTCCTCAAGTAAAAAGAAAAAAAATTCTTAATTAAGAAATGCGGGGGCTGGCCCGGTGGCGCAAACGGTTAAGTGGGTGCACTCTGCTTTGGCGGCCCAGGGTTCGCAGGTTCGGATCCTGGGCACGCACCGACGCACCGCTTGTCAAGCCATGCTGTGGCAGTGTCCCATATAAAGTAGAGGAAGATGGGCATGGATGTTAGCCCAGGGCCAATCTTC